GCAGCAAAGCATAGGGGTCTTCCTGTAGCCCTAACTGGTCTGGAACTCGCTATGTAGACCAGGCTGGCCTCAAATCCACAAAGATCCGCTTGCTTGCCTCTACCTCCCAAGTGCTGGGACTAAAGGCGTGCGCCACCACACCTGGCCCATAAAATATATTTATTTATTTATTTAATATTTTATTTATAATATTTTTATTTTATGTGTATGTATGTATTGCCTGCATGTAGGTAGGTGCACCCATGTTGTGCAATGCCCGCAGAGGACAGAAGAGGCTCTCGAATCCCCTGGAACTGGAGTTACAGACAGTTGTTATATGCCATGTGGGTGCTGGGATTCTAACCTGTGTCTTCTGCAAGAACAGCCAGTATTCTTAACTGCTGAGCTATCTCTCCAACCCCCATAAAATATATTTTTTAAGAAAAGGAAAGATTGCCCGGTATGGTGGCGCACACCTTCAATCCCAGCACTTGGGAGGCAGAGGCAGGCGGATCTTTGTGAGTTCAAGGCCAGCCTGGTCTACATAGTGAGTTCCAGGACAGCTAGGGCTACAGGGAGACCCTGTCTCAAAAAGACAAAAAAAGGAAAGATTGCCACAAAACAAGATCACCTATGACAGTAAGAAGCTTTTATCTGTAATCTTAGCTCTCACTGTTCAGCATTTCTTATGGTCCTTGCTGTGTTTTGGTCTCTGGTTGATTTGTGACAAACAGAAAAATTAATAAGCTGCTGTGAAGAGACCTCAAAACCTGCAGCCTCTGGAAAAGCCATTAGAAAGTCAGTGACATGGCCAGTACATAATGCTGCCTGCCTCAGCATAGCCTCCCACTGACTAAAGTGCCTGGTCTCCATCTGGCGAGCTCTCCTGCTGTCTGTGAGACTGCCGGCGAGGGCTTGTCCTCTGTCCATGGGGAAACGGCGTGGGTATGTGGCCTTCTTGCTTCTCTTTTTGCTTCCAAGTGAGTGTCTGCTGCCTCTGCCCTGCCTTGTTTCCTGGGCTTTAAACTAATTCTGCATACTCTTACCAGAAGCCTAGACGGGCTTTGTGTATTTCTGGAAAGCACATGACTGCTGGGAATGGGCAAGGAAGAAGAGTGAAAGCAAAACTATCAGCTGTGCCTGCAGAAATGTGGCCTACTGGGTGAGAGTGGCCTCATGCACCTTAGAATTGACTTCCCCTTGATTGAGGAGAGTTGCAGGTGCTTGGCCTCAAAGTATAGGCTTCTGAGTGTTGCTAATTGAATATAAGTGATCTTTGCTCAAACATTCACCCTCTGTCCACATGTATGTATTGTATAATCATATGTGCACATATACCAAGTGCATGTGACATTCAGGCTGTGGGTGTGAACTGAAAGATCACAGGAGATCCAAATGCCCTTCAGAGGTGGTTGGGTTGTATTTTTGCTTCATTTAATTGCAGAGTTGTGACCACAGCAGGAATGAGAGCTTTTACTTGGCAGAGAAATGTCCAGTGCTTAGTGCATCTGGTTGCATGCCAGTCTTCCAGGTATTTACTTGGTTTTTAAAAACCCATTTTGTTCTTTCTTGTTTCCTCTCTATTTCAGCCTAGTAACAGAAGGCCAGGAGAGACTGCACCACTGCTCATCTCCCCGCGGCGTGATCCCTGCTCTTAGGTGCTGGGCAGAAAGGACGGGTGGTCAGGGGAAGGAAGGATGGAGAGGGAGGGTGGGGGGGCTCGAGGAATATTTGGAAAAACAGCAGTGTTGTAGTGAGTGAGATTTTTATATACATACATAGATGGGAGTTTTAAAATTTAAGCAAGGGAGATTAATTTTTTTAAAACCTGTGATAAGAGGGCATGGATACAAATAGGGAGGGAGATGCAGTATTATTTCTAAGCAATTGGGTTTTCATTTACTCTGAATTGGTGACAATATGTTTAAAGCCAGGGCTCTAAGAGACCTCAGTTGTTATCTAAGAACCTTGTAGGTTACCAGGCCAAGAATGCAGGAAATCAAACTATGATCCTGTGTACTCTGTAGCCTGGAAGAGGGAGCGTTTGACTGCTGACAGCGGTTCCCCTCACTATAAGGTAAAAAAAATTGTCTCCACATAGGAAAGAGACAGGAGTATATTTATATGGGTGGTGGCTTAGCAAATCAAGTTTACTAGAGTTGTTTGGAGCAAGGGGAGAGAGAGGTCCACTCCCTCCCTGTGATTTGCCACTGATTTACTAGTCGCCTGCTCTGATGGCAAAGCCTCAGCAGCCACCCAGCACATACCACAGTTCTGCAACTTTGCCTTCTTCATCCATCCTGTGTGAAGGGACCCTTTGAAAATAAATGAACAAGGGTTAAGGGTGCTCAATGGCACATGCTTGCCTAGGATTGCAGGGCCCTGGGTTCAATGCCCAGCAGTGGTGGGGAGGAGTAAAATATCTTAAGTGATATCATCCAAAGATTGTCCTTTCCATCCTCAAATCCTGTGACTGGGATCACTCGACAGCACTGTGATATATTTTTTTTCAATGATGTGCCTTTCTTAACTGACCAAATGCTGCCTTGTTTAGCCCCTAAGTCAATAAAATAAGCCAAAAAATTTGTATCCCTGTTGTGGCAGCTTTGTGTATTTTTGTGTGGGATTGGTTTTTTTGTTTTGGGGGGTTTTGGGGGGGTGTTGTTTTGTTTTTAGTGATTCTGGACTAGGAAAAAAAAATTCTGGACCTGTCTTAAAAGCCCTTTTTCATGGCTGTGAGTACCGTGCCATGAGGTATAAGTGTGCGCTCTAAGGTGAGCCTGCACTCCTGCATCCCTCAGCTCTGTGCAGCTTTTCTGGAGCCCAGAGACAAGGCAGCTTCATCCAGTAGAGGATGATGCCACTTGGATCTGGAGCTGAGGACAATCCCCAGTGGTTAGCTACTCTGTTCCTATCGCCTCATCTGAAAAAAGCCTGTGATGCCATCTTCTAGGACTTACTGGCATTCACTGAAGTTTATAAGAAGAAGCTCCTGGCTTGGTGCCCACCACATAGCAGACACTGGGTAAACGTTAGGTTGGAACATATACAGACAAATATCTGCTTCCTACTAGGCTGGCTAATTAGGAATAGACAGTTGTCCACAGCCCTGGCAAGCCTGTGCTTCTAACCCTAAGCCAGGTCTCTGGCTAACTCTAGCTGCTGCTTTGGACACCTCTGCTTGATCCTTTGTCCTATTTGAAATTCCTCTTCTCAGCCAAACTGAGTATAAATCATTGGTCCGTACTGCAGCCCATGCTTCTGGAAAGCTGCCTTTGGCAGTGACATTTCTGAGAAATTGCTGCTGTTCCCAAACCAGAATGACCAGGGCTGGAAACCCTGAAATCCTGCTCGCCGGACCAGCCCCTCCCATCAGCTCCTCCATGTCCCACCTCTGTGGAGTTGCTTTGAGGTGTCGGCATGACCGATTTGCTCCAATCTTTGCATTATTTGTGGCTGTTTAGATGTCTGAAGTTTTTCTTTTCTTGATTGTCATATATATGGAAGAAATGTCTATCAGACCACATTATGGCCGCAAAGAATAAACCGAGGAAAGACTAAGCTGTTAATTATTTGCTGCTTCGGGCCTTACAAATCAAGAATGGATGGAGTAAGAGTCAGTACCACTCTAGGGGGCTGACATGCCCCGTACTATGCAAAGGCCTCATGCCCTTGACTCATGTCACCTCACTAAGCACCTGCACAGTGGAAACTGGCTCCCTGTTTTACAGGTGAGGAATTCAAGGAAGTACCATTCTTCAGGTCACACAAGAGAGGCAGAGTTGGAACTCACACATACTGTCTCCAACACAGGCTTGCCCCCTTGACCTTGTTGAAATGATTCAGTGACTTGTGCAGCTGTGTAGGCAAGAAAGGTTCTTGAGGAAGAGCTCTTGTTCATGGACACTCACTGCCAGGCTGATTTTGACAAAGTCACTGCCAGTTCTGAGGGCCCAGGGTGTGTGTCTTAGGAGATGCTGCCAACAGCACAGCAGGACCCGGAGCAGTGTTGCTCCTGTCAAAAGAGGTCTGACAGTTTTTCCTCAGAAAATGAGTCAGTGAGTCAGAAGACATCTGACAGCAACTGCATGGTGAGACATTGGGCATCGTGTCTCCCATGCATAAAATGGAATGAGCCCTACCCTCAGTGTGCTCAGTTCTGTGATGAGCAGGATACTTCTGTGGGTCAGGATGGCCAGCAAGTGCTCAGTAAATGCTAAAGAAATTCAGAAAGAAAATGCAGACACTGCTGAAAATGTCTTCCTGAGCATCCGGAACCAAGCTGAGGATTTTTCACCTTATGATCCCCTAGGTACCCTGGAGCTCTAAGATTGTATGCAGAACTCTGTTTTCTCATCCTGGTATCTTAATGCATGTGGAATGCTTACTCTGTGGGAGGTTCTGCAAAGGTAAGTGCTACTACTGTCTCCATGTTACCTTTGGGCACTAGAGGCTCATGCATCTAGGAATGGCAAGAGCAGAGCCTGCGCTCCAGGCTGTGGCTGCATACCTGACCTTACACCACTGTACCAGGGCCTTGACACTTTGCAGTGAAGAGGCAGAAGGTTCTAAGAGACGTTCCTGGTTCCGAAACAGGTACCGGCTGTGAATGAGAAGAGGAACGCATGTGAGTGTTCACATCAGAGAAAGGCTTGACAGCCATGCCACCATAGAAGGGACTTCTGCTCTCCCACTCTGACCTGAAGCTTCAGTGTGCTGGCTTTGCACAAGTCCTTGAACCTGTATTCCAGCCAGGCCAGAGAGAAAAGAGAAGTTAGTTTTGCTACCTCTGGTTTTGGAGAGGGTAGCAGGAGAAGAGTATGTGTCCTGGCTCTCTCAGACTGCAGCTCTGCGTGGCAGACTACATTGCATTACTCATAAATCCAGAGGGAGCGTTCAGCTGCTGACATCTCAAAAGTCTGTAGCCGTTGGCCATCGTCCAGGGCAGTGTGCTGAGCTTCCCTCACTGAGGGCCTCTTCTAGTTACCACTCCTGCTGAAGGTGCCTCAGCAGAGAGCAGGTGGGGATGGATAAAGTATCAGAGGGCAGGGCCAGACTTAACTCCCATGCTGATAGCCCTCTGGCCTATAAGCAAATAGAATTGTGCTTCTTTGTTAAAGTTGCTCAGCAACAAAAAATTCCATTGGAGAGGCACTAAGAACACATACTGCCCTTCCAGAAGACCTGAGTTTGGTTCCCAGCACTCAAATCAGGTGGCTCCTGAAACCTGTAATTCCAGAATCAGAGGACTCTGATGCTTCTGGCCTCTGTGGGCACTTGCACTCACCACGTGCACACACACAATTAAAAAAATTTTTTTTGGTCTTTTTGAGACGGGGTCTCCCTGTAGCACCCAGCTGGCCTGAAGCTCGCTATGTAGGCCAAGCTGGCCTTGAACTCAGAGATCTGCCTGCCTCTACCTCCTGAGTGCTGAGATTAAAGGCATATACCACCATGTCTGGCATAAATTTTTTAAAATTTCCTTAGATCAGAGCATCTTAAACTTTTTTGTTGTTTACAAACAACTCCTTTTCACCTGATAAATTTTTAGTGACCCTCAAGTAACAGGTATATAGAATTGGTATACAGATGAAAAACAGCCTGTTATGGTGGCACATGCCTTGGACCCCTGCACTTGGGAGATGGAGGAAGATCAGGAATTCAAGGTCATCCTTGGCTACATAACAAGTTTGAAGCCAGCTTGGGCTACATGAGACTGCCTTAAAAAAGCAAACCAAAAGGTAAAAATTAAAAACATTTGGGGCTGGAGAAAAGGCTCAGCATTTAAGAGCACTACACTGGCTGCTCTTGCAGAGGACCAGGGTTCCATTCCCAGCACCCACACGGTGGCTGACAGCTGTCTAACTCTGGTTCCAGGGGAGCTTGACACCCTTTTCTGACCTGAAGGCATTGCACAACACGGGTGCACTTGCATGTATGCAGGACTCATACATACACATAAAATAATAAATAGTTTGGCTGGGCATGGTGGTGCAGGCCTTTAATCCCAGCACTTGGGAGGCAGAGGTAGGCTGATCTTTGTGAGTTTGAGGCCAGCCTGGTCTACATAGTGAGTTCCAGGACAGCTGGGGCTACAAGGAGACCCTGTCTCAAAAAGACAAAATATATATATATATTTTTAAACATTTACTGATAATAAATCATAAACAGCTCAGTTGATAACTTGCTGTAAAAGTACGAGGACCCAGGGGCTGGAGAGATGGCTCAGCAATTAAGAGCACTAAATGCCTGTGAGTTCAAGGCCAGCCTGGTCTACATAGAGAGACCCTGTCTCAAGAAGACAAAAAAAAAAAAAAAAAAAAAAAAAACCCACTGATTGCTCTTGCAGAGGAACCAGGTTTGATTCCCAGCACCCACATGGCAGCTAACAACCATCCATAATTCCAGTTCCAGTGGAATCCAGTGCCCTCTTCTGATTCCCTGGGTATTGCATGACATAGGTGCACTTGCATGCAGGCAATACCTTCATACACATAAAATATAATATTTAAAACCTGAGTTCAATCCCTAGGTCCCACATAAAAAGTTGAGCTCAGTGATACACCCTTTAAATCCCATCACTGTGGAGGTGGAGACAGGTGGACCCCTGGGGGGAGCCCCAGGTCTCAGTAAGACACGTCTGAGAAAACTTGGTGATTGGCTCCTGGAAACACCCGAGATTGAGCTCTGACCTCCACACTTCTGCATATGCCTGCACACACAAGAGCCACAGACAGACACAAGCAAGTTTGAATACGTGAAATGGAAGTGCTTGTTTTTACTTAAAAAACTTGGTGTGGCTGGAGAGATGGCTCAGCGGTTAAGAACACTGTTCTTTCAGAAGACCCAGGTTCAAATCCCAGCGCCCACATGGCAGCTAACAACTGTCCATAACTCCAGGTCCAGGGGATCTGCAGCCTCTTCTGTCCTCCGCGGCCATTACACGACACGGGTGCACTTAACCTACATGCAGGCAATACACGCATACACATAAAAATAAGTAAAATATTTTTTAAAAATCTTGGCTGAAGCCGGGCATGGTGGCGCACACCTTTAATCCCAGCACTCGGGAGGCAGAGGCAGGCAGAGCTCTGTGAGTTCAAGGCCAGCCTGGTCTACATAGTGAGTTCAGGTCAGCTGGGACTACAGGGAGACCCTGTCTCAAAAAGACACACAAAAAAAATCTTGGCTGAATATTTGATAATGTAGGATTTACAGCATCTTCAACATTTTTCAGAATTAATCATTATGTTTTATAGTTGTCAAAACTAAGAGCACTTTGCATATGTATGTTTATTGCCATTTCAAAATGACTGGAAATTCTTACCTAATCCCAAGCCAAATTTCATTTATTGACTGTATAAGAAACTTAAGTCACCAAGTCAAATGGCAACTTTTTGGGTTGGGGATGGTTTAAGATAGGGACTTACTATGTAGCCCAGTTGGCCTTGAACTCACTATGTACACCAGACTGGCCTGCCTTGAACTCAGAGAACTACCTGCTTCTACCTCCTGAGTGCTTAGGATTAAAGGTGTATGCCACCACACCTGGCAATTTTTTTCTTTTTTTTTATTTTTAAAGATTTATT